GGGGGGGTCAAAACCTCCCACTTCCTGTATCCTGTTCTCCCGCCTTCTGAACCTTTCTCTCCCAAATTCCTCATTTTTCCGAGTTGCTTCCGCTCCCGATAAATCATTTCTTTCCAGCCTCCACCCCCTTTCAGAACCCCCGCTTCTCGCCCTCCCGTCTCCCCTCTCCCGCTTCCCTCAGTTATTCGGGCACAATCCAATTTTACGATGACAGTATTCAATCTCAGAAATTTGATTTTCCAAACGCCTGAACGTGTTGAAAACGTTTACAAGATTAAGAAATACATCGGGGGAGTTCGCAGTAAACTGCTGCAGATCAGTAGAATATGAAAAGCTCTCCTCGGAAAAGACTGGGATCGACAGTGCCGCCTTAGGGATTGTGGGACGCCGGTATTGTGAAGAAACAATCGTGTCCCCCCAAACAATTCCACAATCGCTTGCGCGGCCACTCGGACCTAGTCTTTTCCAAAATGAGCTGCTTAAAACCTGTCGGCCCTACTGGGTAACCACGCTCACCATTACAATAGCCAGCAATGTTGCTCCTTCTGAGTGCCTCAAGAGATTTGCAGCACCGACGTGCGACATAACATGTGTGACAATATAAATGACTCCCGCGATACCTGGGGTAGCACTACAGCCTGCCCCACCGAAGAAACATTGAAACCCTGTCCTCCATCTGCAAACAAAAGAGAAAATTGTAGGTTTTTTCCCTTATAGGTCGACCTGTTACTCGTGGTTACTCCTGTGGCTCTCTTGATGAAACCAAATTCGTTTTCATACACTCCCACCAACGCAGCGCTCAACCCATTTTCTTCAGAAACTAACCCTTGGGCATCAGGTCACGTGTTTTGTAGCCGGCGAGCAGGCGGTCTCGCTTGTTCAGGTGAGCTTGCAAGCAAAGTTCGTAGCTTTCGACTTCGCCGCTCGCAAAAGAGTCAGCCAACAAGACCACCTGCTCTGAGGGTACATGTTATGGTATGTAGTTTTTTAGAATTGAAATACACATACTTTGTTCCAAAATTGTTTATCTTAGTGTCTCCGTACCACGGAAGGAGATCCACCCAGAAGAACAGAGCGACAGAGAGAAGCTCGTAGGTTGATGTCCAAAATAAAAAGTACACCAGATTGATTTGCTCATTTGATGTGTCATCTTCGATCTTTACACCACGCTCCTCATACACTCTCATGGTAGCTTCTGGAACCTAAATTTACAGAAACAAAAAACGAAATTAGAATTTTGTGACGAGACACATTACTATAAAACATGGCTAGTGAGGGTACCATGTCAAAAATCTTTCCCAGAGCCGGCGATCTGAACGGTACCAGTTGCGGACCAAAAGGATGAGGGGCTCAAGTTCAATCAAACAAAAATGTGGAGTTTCAGGGAGAGGGAATCTTCATTGCATGATGATTTTTGAAGTTTTTGAAAAAAAAAAAAAAAACACCGCTTTTACCCTCGTGAAAAGCCTAAGCAGGAATGGGCGTCTACTCGTGCCCAATTGTAATTGGCTATTCGTGTTTGGCAGAAGACAGTAGGGAGTTTACGAAACCACGACGGCAACGGGAACGTCACTGAATTAAAGGTTTAATGAGCAGTACAATGGCTGTACACGTACGTTATAAGGGATCTTAAGCAAACCACGACGACGACGACGCAACGAGAACGTCACCAGACAAAAGGTTTAATGAGCAGAACAATACATGTGCACGCGCGTTATAAATCTTTGTACATTTCTATGCCGTATTCTGCAAAACAGCAACGTGAAATGACCAAGTTTTGGGTATTTTGAAAAACGTGAGCCACGACGGCTAATTTTTCGTATTTTCTTCTAGAATTGTTCGCTGGCGTTACATCTTTAGTTTGAGTAGGGTCTTAGACTGCTCGGCTTGCAGAACAGTTCTAGATAATTGCAAAATTCAAAGGTAAAATTTAAGTCCATTTTTTTCCAGCCGTCGTCCTTTGCGTTGCCGTCGTCATTGCTTAAGCTCCCTAACAACGTGAAATGACCAAATTTTGCGTTGTCTGGAGAACGTGAACCGCGACGGCTAATTTTTTAAATTTTTATTTCAAATTTATCGCTGTGTTCCGGAGTTAGTTTTGCGATAGTTTTGACAGTGGTAAACAAAGTAAATGGCTTTAGAGTATCGCGAGATTCGTAGGTAAAATGTAAATTCATATTTCTAATCGACGTTGCCCTCGGCGTCGCCGTCGTGGTTTCGTAAACTCCCTAGTGTCATATAAGTGCCTTCCTAAGAGTCATACTTTGAAGAATCTTGGACTAGAGGTGGTTGTATGGGCTCCAGCCGTCTTTTTGACTTATTCCACTCATCCGCCTCCTAACTCTTACCTATGTCAGCTATTAACATAACCCAGTGACAGATATCAGGTAACTCGCGACCTGATTGGTTAGTGGTTACACAAGGAGCTTTAAGTGATAGTGGCCCCTGGAAATGTTAATATGCTAGCTTAAGGGTCAACTACCCCTTTGATAGTTCCGACACACGCAGAAACACTCTATCTTTTTACTGCTTAGCGCACTTACAAAATTACAATGTGTTAATGAATAGCCCTTTTCACGGTTAACTTTGTTCATTTGCATTACAATAAAATCTAGCCTGTGTGTGAGACAATTTCGGGCTATCTTGATTGTAGTTTTAACCCGAAATTGCCGCGCATCCGCGTTGGATGACATTGTAATGCAAATGAGAAAAATTAATCGTGAGAAGGGCTAATAGAAAAACAAGGGATGAGAACTATCCATCTGGGTATTTTCGGAGGATAGTCTCTCCGCGTATGACGTCACGCGATCAAATTAAACCAATTATGCTCAGAGAAAATTTAGGGGGGAAGTGACAGACTTCGTCTCGGGGAATATGCACCAACATTTACTTCGCCTTGGGCGAGTAACTGTTGAATAGTGTCTCTCCGCAGATGACGTCACGTGATCAATTTGAACCAATCAGACTTGGAGAACATTAACTGGTGAACTATAATAGACGATAGAAACCTTTGACGTGCAGACTAGTTGGTTTAAAGGGGAGCAACCAAAGAACACTACGTACGCTTCCAAGCATGAATATGATCGGCCACATCACCCTGGAGAAAGAGTCAATCTCAATAGTGGTTTCGTCGCTGATTTTGGAATCAATTTCGGGAAACACTGTTGGAATGATGCAGATGAAAAGACCGATGATCACAGCGAAACTACATAGTAGCTTGAGAAGGGTGGGCTTCCTGCGCAAAATGATCAGTCTGTGATGCAATAAAGAACATTCAGAGATTGGTCAGTATGTCATTAATTGATCCCCCTTGTTTGCAATTGAGAATTAGCTACATAAATCCCTTCATTCATAACCACTTCTCGTAAGCGGAGGGACAGTGGTTCACAGTCCCAGTGGTGCCCGGTTACGGGTGGTTTGTTAACGGCCCCAAAATGTACCGTGTTCATTCAGTTGTCACAATATTAGGGCACCTTTTGTTGTAAGAGCGAGTCTTTACCAAGATAGGGCCCAGTGCGTGTAAGACTTGTACTTCTTCGTGTATTTTTCGTGCGATCATGTCACGCGACCGGTAGCGCGTTCCAACTGTTCAGATTGTGGGGAGCGCCGAAAATCGTCGTGAGAATAAAACATATTGTGAGCGAGCGGCATAAAAACGAGGAGAAGCTAGGGAGAGATTGCACTCGCAAGATCTTTCATCAGTCGCGACGATTTTCGCCGCTCCCCACAATCTAAACGCCTGGAACAGGCGACGTGATCGGTGGAATTCTGTCAATTCTCTCAGGGAGACTTCACGGGGTCACCACTATCGGCTTTCGTCTTACGGGTGAAGTTATGACAGACGCGTAAGAAAAGCCGCATGACCCTTTGTACCAGTCTCGTGAGTTATCTATTTTCGCAGCACATTTAGCCGGAATTACGGCCAATTATTTTTCCTCTGCGACTTGTCAGGTTTAAACTCTCATATATCAAGATTCCTGCTGTTGGTGCCTCGGCACAGCTACCCGAATTTCAAGGGAACAAGATCTCTCCACACACTACCGATACAGATTTGATTTTGTCTGGGCTCGCAAGAGTCACGCTAAAGAAGGAAGACACTCCGTCGCGCACGTGAAAAAATTACCACGACACTTGATGATGGTCCGCCAAAAATCTCGTTTTAAAATTGCCATCAGCAGAGTGCTGAGCCATCTTTTGATTTCCTTACTCGATAGCCACTCTGGGTTCAATTCAACTTTCCTTTCCATTAAAATCGAGCTTCGCTGAAAAGGGGAGCACCCTTCACCAGAATGTGCGCTCCCCAGACTTCGAAACGTAACACTAAAAGCTAGATCGCTTTGGTTTCAATCAGTTTCGTGACTTTAACCAGACATTAAATTGTAGCGCTCTTTAAGCTGCATCCTACAAGATCAGTCAAGATCAAGTTTTCTTTCCCCCAGTTTTTCAGCAAGCGAATTTGCCGTATAAAATTCGAGCAAATTTTCTCATGTACGCGAGCAAATAAAAATTGTCGCAGAAAAGTTGTCTCAGAAAATATTGCGAACAATTTGTTCTTGTGGATCCGGCTTACTTACAAACTACAGCCTGTATGTCTTTAGCCTGTCGACAGACTCCTCTTTGGAGTATGGGGTTCAAAACGAACGCGGGAAGAGAATAAATGAGGGTGAGTTTTCCCCTTTTATAAAGGGTCTCTACGGGCCCCGCTCGGCTCGCCAAAGTATTTCGTCTTGACACTCTCTTCGGTTGTCCAGTACCTTACAAAGTAGCCTGCTTACAGGCTGACGTAGTCTGCAAGTAGGCCCCACGGCTGTCCGCGGAGAGCTTGCTAGCACGCTGTAGCACGAGTGTAGGGCACTGTACAGGGGGTGGAAGGGGAGGGGGGGTGGGGGGAGGAGAAGATAGGGAAACGGATGCGCGAGACTCCTGCCATGCAGGCTGGCAAATTCACCTACCTGAATAAGACTGTCAGGGGAATTAGAAAATTCCCAAGAATTGCTTGTAGATATGGAGGAGTTCTGGTCCCTTTTGCGGCGAAAACTACCAGTACTCCATTAATGGCATCACTGAGTCCAACAAGGAAAAACAGCCGATGAGGAAAGTTTCTTTCCGTCTCGCCAATATCTTTGGGCGAAAAGACTCGAATGAACAGTGTTCCCAACCCAAATGTGAAGACAAAGACTAGAGACGAAAACGACAAAACGAAGTAATTGTCGAGCGAGGACTCTGTGCAGTCAGTTGCATTTGCGTGGTCCAACCACATTGGCAAAGTCACTTTGTGCCCAACTTCGCCGACTAACACGATAACTGCAAAGCACAAATTTGCCACAAAAAAGGGAACTTCGCACAATCCTACATTCAGTCGTTTCGGTTTTCCTTGTAGTGACATCGTTTTCTGCGACGAAACATCAGCAGACAGGTTACGTACCGTTTCGTCCGGTAAAGGTGACTCGATGGAAGCAGTTTTAGCCATTTCTGACGGCTGAAAACCGACCCGTAACAATTCAAGTCTCTTGTTTCAGTTGGGACACGAGATTTTTCTTGTTCCGATCTTTAAAAAAACATAAAAGCTGCCCGAGGGGATTGCCTTTAACATCAAATGTTTATCACATGTTGCATCGGAGCGTTCTTGCCCGCGTCCTTTGGGCACCCTGCACACGCGTGCTAACCATGTCTAAAATGGAAACAGCAACAAAGTAATGCATCAGTCAATTGAAACCCCGGCACCCGAACCCCGGGACATAGCGGGGGTTTAACGCGGCCAAAGCCGCGATTACTTTTAACGACGCGTTGGCCCCGGGGGCCGGTAGATCTAACAACAAAAAAAATGTCTGTAAGGGAAGTGGTCGAAACTATTATACCTATGCCGGAGGCGTGGGGCGGCGATTTAACAGCACGTGCGATCACCGGAAGCGGGGGCAACAGCCGGGATTTAACAGCTGGGACTAAACCGAATTCTCGTCTTCAAAGATGATGTCGGTGAAGAGAGAGGTTCGAACGTTTTTAATTCATTGATATCGGTTTCTCTTTAGCCATACTTGAGTGAAATCCAGCTGTGTATAGTGCACCCGAGGAAAAGGACGCTTTTTGAAGCAGTTTAATACGTTTGTACGGATTGAATCAAAGTTAAATCGTTAATTTTGATCAAACTTGAATCGTTAAAGTATTCCAGAATACTGTAGTTAAGGTTAGAATATTTAAAGTTAGAATATTTTTGACGGAGATACCTATTTTAACGGCAAGTTGCCTGTCCAATTGCTGTAGGTAACTAATATGGTTGAGTTGATACGGATTGAATTATTGTTGACAGAGTAGTTTGAATAAATGAACGATAGCCTCCATTTGGCGCGAAAATATGCTCGGATATTTGTCCGACATTATCTGTTCCGAGAAGCGAACAGTTTTCCGAGAGCGTAGCTCGAGGAAAACTGCGATCTTTGAGTAACAGACAATGTTCAAGGACAAATATCCGAACATATTTTCAAAGTCAAATGGAGGCTATTGTGCTTATTATCCTTCAAATATTTCTCGCAACACGCGCAGTTTTGAAAATTGGGGAATATTCGGTCACGTGACGCGTTTGGACTAATCGCGCGCGAGCGAAAATATTTGATGGATTATAAGAACAGGTTCTAGCATTTTCGTCCTGTTAATTTGAGATTTATTTCAAATAAATGCACTTTCAATCGACCTTTAATATTCACGAGCCCTTTGAGATATCGACTATCCACCGTCCTATCAGATATAGTGGGTCGACGTTAGCAACGATTTGGTGTCAAGGAGAATGGATACACAGAACATGTCCAAGGCGAGAGTTACACTCGAGTCACTGAGGGCACTGAAGCATCACATTACTGTAATATGTTATGTGCTGATCCAACTGCACTTTACAGTTTAAAAATACACCCATGCATTTATGTAATACCAAAATCCATGGAACTCTTACCTAATTTTAGCGATTTTCAATTTGCTAACGCCCAACACAACGTCTATTAAAAGGCCACTTTTCGCAGCAAATGACGATTGCAGAAGAAGACAATATAGTACGGTCGAACCTGGAGTTTTTAGTGATAGAAACGAGAACCTTTGACTTGCCAATTTGAGTTGTTTCTTTATTTGGTTCCGGTGTTCGGATGCCCCTGCTGTACGGAACTTTTAACAGACTTCTTGGCCCTGGGGTAAATGTTAAATTCCCCGCTATGTCCCGGGGGTTGGGGGATCGGGGTTTCAATTGTCAGTTATTTTAAAAATAAAGTATTTTTAGCAACTGCACAGACATTTCATTTGATTTTTATCTTACTACCACTATCAGTGATTTTTAACTTACAAGGAATTTGGCCGGGGTTTCTGTTTCAACGGCTTCTCTCTATATTTTGGAACAGAAACCTCACGAAACCGCCTCAAATTGACCTACAAACCACACAAGACACAAAAGGAACTACAGAAGAATTTAGGTGAGAAATTTTCATTGACAAATCATTCCTAATTTTGCCTTCAAATTCAATACTTTTTCCTCCATGTAAATCCTTATAATTTTCTCTAATAAACTACGTGCGCGCGCCAGTGTTTACGTTACAAACTGTCAACACACATATGTATGTTTGACTAGCATATGACACGTCAAGTTCGTAAAATGCATGTTTTTGAAATGTTTATCACCGCGACCGAAGGCCAAGAATTTATACATATCCTAGAGCTTGAGTTACCTGTGAAGCGATCGTGATTTGTATTGTTCACTGAAAAACCCATTGGGAGTGTGCAATAAAGTTTCATTCATTCAAAACAACAACAAAAAAGCGGTCACTCAAAATGTCATGCATATAGATGGTCGATTACGGGAGGTGAGTCAGACAACAGGTGTCTACACTTTGAGTAAAATTAGCTACCAGAAATTTACTCGAGTCATCGATAACTTCGCGGAAATCGAAGATCAATAGCTTTGGATATGCTGACGCTACTAATCGAACCAAATCGAACTCAATCGAACCAAGAGAGGATAAAAGGACCTTTTATTCTCTCTTGATCGAACTTATTTGAACCCCAGTCACGCGATTAGGTTCGACTGAGTTCGGTAATCGAACTCAATCGAACTCTGACAACAAATTTTGAGCCATCGAAAGCAATCGAACATTCAATTAAGTTCAATTAATTGGATTGAGTGCGATTAGGTTCGATCGCGTTCGATTTGAGGCTGGATGTCACGCAAAACAATGGTCGACGTTGGATTCATGGTGGTATTAAGGTTGCTCGATTGGGTTCGATTATTTGATGTAGAGATTTCCCGTTTTAGAGATTCCCAATTTTAAAGATTCCCCGTTTCGGAGATTCCCTATGTTAGAGATTCTCCAGTACCCAATCCCCGTCCCTTCCTTCATTCTCCGTTGTTATTTTACAGATAGCCATTCGTGGTTCATATGTGGCTTCGATGTTCGTCACCGAGGAATCTCAACCACGACGGACAAAAATCATCCCAGTACGTTCAATTTCATCAACGTTGGGTTGTTTATAGAATGTATGGCAAAAAATATTGTTCCGTTTGGTACGCAGCAACATTCGCCCTAAAGTTCTTACGATTGGAGACACATGATAATAAACACATCAAATCACGTGCTCAAGAAGACCGCGTTGCTTTCTCTTCTGTCGATGCAATCAGGGCGTGCCCAATCGCTGAAAAATCGATAATCCATATTAATCGATAGCAATATTAATTGCTATTTTTAATCGATTAAAATCGATTTATTAAAATATTCGGAAATCGAGAAGATTAAGGTGAGTGTGACTATAAACTTTCATCGATTATTATCGATTTCTATCGATTTTTGTCGTTTTCAAGATTTTCATCGCTTTATAGGACCAATCGGTAATAATCGATTAATTATTATGGATTGAGAATGCCGGGATCCAATGGAAGAGAATCCACTGATATCACAACTCGGTCAGGTTTTTTTGGTCATTAATAAACAACTTCCCGTACTGTCAACTTGTCCGTGTGTATAGATTACTAACTTGTGGAACTGCAAACCGAGGAACCGCGGAACCGCGGAACATGCGGAAACTGAGGAACCAAGAGAAATCGCTGTTTTTATTACAACTACTCGATTCAACTACTACTATTAAATTTGAATAATCACCAGTAGGTCGAGATCAAAACTAAACGCAAGCTAGCGTAACAAATAGAAATGTTTAGTACATTCTATTAGGCGCAACCATTCGAAGCATGATTTATGCCGGGTTAACGTCGGCGCCAGCCGATCCGAATGGAAGAGAAGCCACAAATGCATATAAAATACATAGTTACGTGCTTTAATTGATATCGCCGGTTAAAAAGTGAGGCAGCCAGCGGTAAATCATGATTAAATACAAATTTCTAGTATATGAAAATTTTACAATACGTACAGTTAAAATAAAATCACAAACGATTAATATACTACAAATATCACTACTCGGTCAGGGTTTTCAAGGGGTATCAAAGGACAAATGAAAAAGCGAAATCAAGGACAAAAAATTCATAGAGAAACAACTGACCATACTGCTTCTAAAGCATAAAGCAAAGTTCCAATTCAATGAATCTAGTCTGGAAGCGTTGTCAACATTCAATTCGACGATTTAAAACGCGGACTAAGCACGACCCAGCTCATGTAACTAAGCGTGTGTGACTAGGCGCATGCAAAAGACTGACGTCATGCATGTCCGCACCAACAACGGAAATTGCCACTACTGCGAAGTCGCTAATGCATGCTAAGGGTAACTGTAACTCTGAAGAATTTATGTCTCTGTTAGTGGACTGGTATTTTGAGTTAGCATCAGAGAGCATCCGGTTTTTTCGGCTGGAGTTACCGGATGCTCCCGCAAGCTTGTGTAGTGAGCAATTGCAAGTGTGATCTGTCACGCAATCCAACCGCCAAAGAACGTCCGAAGAAGCAAGAGGCGCAGGCGAGTGTTGGGCACTTGGGCACAGGGAGCAGAGGAGTCCTATTTGACCGTATTACCAGTTAAATTCATCGTGCAATTGTAGCGCGAATCGATCTTGTTGATGGGAATTCCCCGGGACGTGATCACACTACATACATGCGATAAGGTTACACTGCTGTTGACATCCTATTCGCGGCTCGCGGATAGGATTTCAATGGCAGCGTGACAACAGAGTAACGCGATCGCACGTATGTAAGTTTTATCACGTCGGGGATCATGTACCTTCCCACGTAGTCGTTTGACAGCGTGGGAGACTAGGGATCACCCATGGTGATTTGAATCAACAAGATCAACTTGAGCGCGCCGAAGTCTTCATATTTTCAAATTGCAGAGACCCTGTTGTAGTTTANGGTTGTCCAGTACCTTACAAAGTAGCCTGCTTACAGGCTGACGTAGCCTGCAAGTAGGCCCCACGGCTGTCCGCGGAGAGCTTGCTAGCACGCTGTAGCACGAGTGTAGGGCACTGTACAGGGGGTGGAAGGGGAGGGGAGGTGGGGGGAGGAGAAGATAGGGAAACGGATGCGCGAGACTCCTGCCATGCAGGCTGGCAAATTCACCTACCTGAATAAGACTGTCAGGGGAATTAGAAAATTCCCAAGAATTGCTTGTAGATATGGAGGAGTTCTGGTCCCTTTTGCGGCGAAAACTACCAGTACTCCATTAATGGCATCACTGAGTCCAACAAGGAAAAACAGCCGATGAGGAAAGTTTCTTTCCGTCTCGCCAATATCTTTGGGCGAAAAGACTCGAATGAACAGTGTTCCCAACCCAAATGTGAAGACAAAGACTAGAGACGAAAACGACAAAACGAAGTAATTGTCGAGCGAGGACTCTGTGCAGTCAGTTGCATTTGCGTGGTCCAACCACATTGGCAAAGTCACTTTGTGCCCAACTTCGCCGACTAACACGATAACTGCAAAGCACAAATTTGCCACAAAAAAGGGAACTTCGCACAATCCTACATTCAGTCGTTTCGGTTTTCCTTGTAGTGACATCGTTTTCTGCGACGAAACATCAGCAGACAGGTTACGTACCGTTTCGTCCGGTAAAGGTGACTCGATGGAAGCAGTTTTAGCCATTTCTGACGGCTGAAAACCGACCCGTAACAATTCAAGTCTTTTGTTTCAGTTGGGACACGAGATTTTTCTTGTTCCGATCTTTAAAAAAACATAAAAGCTGCCCGAGGGGATTGCCTTTAACATCAAATGTTTATCACATGTTGCATCGGAGCGTTCTTGCCCGCGTCCTTTGGGCACCCTGCACACGCGTGCTAACCATGTCTAAAATGGAAACAGCAACAAAGTAATGCATCAGTCAATTGAAACCCCGGCACCCGAACCCCGGGACATAGCGGGGGTTTAACGCGGCCAAAGCCGCGATTACTTTTAACGACGCGTTGGCCCCGGGGGCCGGTAGATCTAACAACAAAAAAAATGTCTGTAAGGGAAGTGGTCGAAACTATTATACCTATGCCGGAGGCGTGGGGCGGCGATTTAACAGCACGTGCGATCACCGGAAGCGGGGGCAACAGCCGGGATTTAACAGCTGGGACTAAACCGAATTCTCGTCTTCAAAGATGATGTCGGTGAAGAGAGAGGTTCGAACGTTTTTAATTCATTGATATCGGTTTCTCTTTAGCCATACTTGAGTGAAATCCAGCTGTGTATAGTGCACCCGAGGAAAAGGACGCTTTTTGAAGCAGTTTAATACGTTTGTACGGATTGAATCAAAGTTAAATCGTTAATTTTGATCAAACTTGAATCGTTAAAGTATTCCAGAATACTGTAGTTAAGGTTAGAATATTTAAAGTTAGAATATTTTTGACGGAGATACCTATTTTAACGGCAAGTTGCCTGTCCAATTGCTGTAGGTAACTAATATGGTTGAGTTGATACGGATTGAATTATTGTTGACAGAGTAGTTTGAATAAATGAACGATAGCCTCCATTTGGCGCGAAAATATGCTCGGATATTTGTCCGACATTATCTGTTCCGAGAAGCGAACAGTTTTCCGAGAGCGTAGCTCGAGGAAAACTGCGATCTTTGAGTAACAGACAATGTTCAAGGACAAATATCCGAACATATTTTCAAAGTCAAATGGAGGCTATTGTGCTTATTATCCTTCAAATATTTCTCGCAACACGCGCAGTTTTGAAAATTGGGGAATATTCGGTCACGTGACGCGTTTGGACTAATCGCGCGCGAGCGAAAATATTTGATGGATTATAAGAACAGGTTCTAGCATTTTCGTCCTGTTAATTTGAGATTTATTTCAAATAAATGCACTTTCAATCGACCTTTAATATTCACGAGCCCTTTGAGATATCGACTATCCACCGTCCTATCAGATATAGTGTGTCGACGTTAGCAACGATTTGGTGTCAAGGAGAATGAATACACAGAACATGTCCAAGGCGAGAGTTACACTCGAGTCACTGAGGGCACTGAAGCATCACATTACTGTAATATGTTATGTGCTGATCCAACTGCACTTTACAGTTTAAAAATACACCCATGCATTTATGTAATACCAAAATCCATGGAACTCTTACCTAATTTTAGCGATTTTCAATTTGCTAACGCCCAACACAACGTCTATTAAAAGGCCACTTTTCGCAGCAAATGACGATTGCAGAAGAAGACAATATAGTACGGTCGAACCTGGAGTTTTTAGTGATAGAAACGAGAACCTTTGACTTGCCAATTTGAGTTGTTTCTTTATTTGGTTCCGGTGTTCGGATGCCCCTGCTGTACGGAACTTTTAACAGACTTCTTGGCCCTGGGGTAAATGTTAAATTCCCCGCTATGTCCCGGGGGTCGGGGGATCGGGGTTTCAATTGTCAGTTATTTTAAAAATAAAGTATTTTTAGCAACTGCACAGACATTTCATTTGATTTTTATCTTACTACCACTATCAGTGATTTTTAACTTACAAGGAATTTGGCCGGGGTTTCTGTTTCAACGGCTTCTCTCTATATTTTGGAACAGAAACCTCACGAAACCGCCTCAAATTGACCTACAAACCACACAAGACACAAAAGGAACTACAGAAGAATTTAGGTGAGAAATTTTCATTGACAAATCATTCCTAATTTTGCCTTCAAATTCAATACTTTTTCCTCCATGTAAATCCTTATAATTTTCTCTAATAAACTACGTGCGCGCGCCAGTGTTTACGTTACAAACTGTCAACACACATATGTATGTTTGACTAGCATATGACACGTCAAGTTCGTAAAATGCATGTTTTTGAAATGTTTATCACCGCGACCGAAGGCCAAGAATTTATACATATCCTAGAGCTTGAGTTACCTGTGAAGCGATCGTGATTTGTATTGTTCACTGAAAAACCCATTGGGAGTGTGCAATAAAGTTTCATTCATTCAAAACAACAACAAAAAAGCGGTCACTCAAAATGTCATGCATATAGATGGTCGATTACGGGAGGTGAGTCAGACAACAGGTGTCTACACTTTGAGTAAAATTAGCTACCAGAAATTTACTCGAGTCATCGATAACTTCGCGGAAATCGAAGATCAATAGCTTTGGATATGCTGACGCTACTAATCGAACCAAATCGAACTCAATCGAACCAAGAGAGGATAAAAGGACCTTTTATTCTCTCTTGATCGAACTTATTTGAACCGCAATCACGCGATTAGGTTCGACTGAGTTCGGTAATCGAACTCAATCGAACTCTGACAACAAATTTTGAGCCATCGAAAGCAATCGAACATTCAATTAAGTTCAATTAATTGGATTGAGTGCGATTAGGTTCGATCGCGTTCGATTTGAGGCTGGATGTCACGCAAAACAATGGTCGACGTTGGATTCATGGTGGTATTAAGGTTGCTCGATTGGGTTCGATTATTTGATGTAGAGATTTCCCGTTTTAGAGATTCCCAATTTTAAAGATTCCCCGTTTCGGAGATTCCCTATGTTAGAGATTCTCCAGTACCCAATCCCCGTCCCTTCCTTCATTCTCCGTTGTTATTTACAGATAGCCATTCGTGGTTCATATGTGGCTTCGATGTTCGTCACCGAGGAATCTCAACCACGACGGACAAAAATCATCCCAGTACGTTCAATTTCATCAACGTTGGGTTGTTTATAGAATGTATGGCAAAAAATATTGTTCCGTTTGGTACGCAGCAACATTCGCCCTAAAGTTCTTACGATTGGAGACACATGATAATAAACACATCAAATCACGTGCTCAAGAAGACCGCGTTGCTTTCTCTTCTGTCGATGCAATCAGGGCGTGCCCAATCGCTGAAAAATCGATAATCCATATTAATCGATAGCAATATTAATTGCTATTTTTAATCGATTAAAATCGATTTATTAAAATATTCGGAAATCGAGAAGATTAAGGTGAGTGTGACTATAAACTTTCATCGATTATTATCGATTTCTATCGATTTTTGTCGTTTTCAAGATTTTCATCGCTTTATAGGACCAATCGGTAATAATCGATTAATTATTATGGATTGAGAATGCCGGGATCCAATGGAAGAGAATCCACTGATATCACAACTCGGTCAGGTTTTTTTGGTCATTAATAAACAACTTCCCGTACTGTCAACTTGTCCGTGTGTATAGATTACTAACTTGTGGAACTGCAAACCGAGGAACCGCGGAACCGCGGAACATGCGGAAACTGAGGAACCAAGAGAAATCGCTGTTTTTATTACAACTACTCGATTCAACTACTACTATTAAATTTGAATAATCACCAGTAGGTCGAGATCAAAACTAAACGCAAGCTAGCGTAACAAATAGAAATGTTTAGTACATTCTATTAGGCGCAACCATTCGAAGCATGATTTATGCCGGGTTAACGTCGGCGCCAGCCGATCCGAATGGAAGAGAAGCCACAAATGCATATAAAATACATAGTTACGTGCTTTAATTGATATCGCCGGTTAAAAAGTGAGGCAGCCAGCGGTAAATCATGATTAAATACAAATTTCTAGTATATGAAAATTTTACAATACGTACAGTTAAAATAAAATCACAAACGATTAATATACTACAAATATCACTACTCGGTCAGGGTTTTCAAGGGGTATCAAAGGACAAATGAAAAAGCGAAATCAAGGACAAAAAATTCATAGAGAAACAACTGACCATACTGCTTCTAAAGCATAAAGCAAAGTTCCAATTCAATGAATCTAGTCTGGAAGCGTTGTCAACATTCAATTCGACGATTTAAAACGCGGACTAAGCACGACCCAGCTCATGTAACTAAGCGTGTGTGACTAGGCGCATGCAAAAGACTGACGTCATGCATGTCCGCACCAACAACGGAAATTGCCACTACTGCGAAGTCGCTAATGCATGCTAAGGGTAACTGTAACTCTGAAGAATTTATGTCTCTGTTAGTGGACTGGTATTTTGAGTTAGCATCATACAGGTAACCGCAATCGCTAAACCACAGAGAAACATGCATAGAAAAATAATCACGCATATTTCGATAATCACGCATTGTTCAAAGTCACGCATTCTTCGTAAATCGCGGGCTGTTCCTGTTCATGTTCATAGATCACGCAGCGAAACTAAAACTGTTCATAACAATCCGTCTTAAATTTTGTAGTTAGCACAATGTTTTTAAAGTGCCAATATAACTTTGTACCTTCTCTTCTGTCATTTCTAAGAACTTCAGTTTCCTTTCGGAAGTCCAACCAAGAGTTCTCCATTAGCAGCTGCCAGGAAAAAAAGCAAGAAATTAAATTACGTAAAACGATCAATAAAAAAAATGCTTCTGAAATTAAAAGGAGTGATCATACCCATTATGCAAAACAGAAAATTATCTGTGCACACATTATTTTTGTATAGGAGTCCCAGGCAAGAATATTTCAACAAAATACTATAACAGTAAAATAACATTAAATAATATTTTCTGCTTTTCCAGACTGGTTTTTGGCCTTTTCGAAGGCATAGTTGTATTAGTTGAGACAGTTTCTTTGATTGTTACTGCCTACAAATTAAAATTAAGTCACTCAAAGTTTAAGGACTTATTTCTACAAATGTCCAACCTGCCATTTAAGTGGTTTGTAGTTGCAAAATTGGGGCATGACTGTCACTTACTTTTAAAGAGGGTAAATATAGATGTCGGTGGTGATATGCAAAAGGCAGGTGGGCAGTCTATCTGCTGGTATAGTCAATCTGCTGTTACTCTATGTAACTCAAAGTATTTGTTCAGCTGTGGTTCAATTTTATCCCCTTTTTTTTCCCTCCCTTTTTTGGAGGTAGGGCAGTGTATGATAATGTATCATAATTAGCTTAAAACAAAGGGAGGAAAAAATTAGACCAAGGGTAAAATTAAACTACAACATATTCCCGGAAAATCCTTGAACCCTAATGGCCTTATAATGATGACCCAGTTGTGGCTAATTAACTACGCCCTCAGAAGGACTGGAGTCTGTTGCTCAAGATAATTAGCCCACATGAAAAATGGGCTGTTGTGGCTGTACATTCAACAGCAATGAAAAAGACTATGACTGAGCTAGGCAATAATAAATGGGCTTAGTCAAAGAGGGCTAGTATACTCTGCCATCAATTAATTTAAATTGAATGTAGTTTTCTCTTTTCAAAATTAATACTAGAGTACCAGTATGTTATAAAGAGAACTCACAATGGTCACTGTAATCATCCACTGGTCAATATTATTTCTTTTGTTAAGCTTGGAGGACTTGTATTTCAAATACTGAAAAGAAGAACATGGGAAATTTACAAAGAAAAGAAATAATAAAAAAAAAACTAATGCTGAAAATCAATAAGGAAAACATGCATCATGTGTATATTAACTCACACCATATTTACAGTACATGTTACCCTACAAGTCTTAACCAGGGTAAGATACCCAGACAGTTTGGCTACAGGCTTGCCACTAGACCAGACTGCATGAGCTTGATTACTTTTAATGCAACCTTATTTTAGTCTTAACACCTCCACTATCTTTGTTACTTTTTATAAATACCCACACCTCAATTCATCACTAATAAACCATAGTATATCCCAGAATCCCAATTGCCTTATTCTAGATCTAAACTCTAAAAACCTACACTAAATCATCAACTTTATCATGTTAATGTAAAACTTTCTCTATAATATTTTACATTGTCTTGTTTCCTTTTGTTCTTATATGCAATTAGCATTTTGCACACACTATATACTATTCAACTCTGTACTTTGTAATTTAAATTGAAGATGACAGAAGATTCTGTTGAAACATGTACATGTATTTAAAAAACGTTGTGTTGTTTCTTAAAATTACATCTAAACTCTCTAATTATCTTCATATCCTAGATCTGTTTACTTTTTTTTTTTTTTTTTTTTTTACCAGCCTGTCCCTGCATTAAGTGAATCAAGACAAAGCACAGTTGTTATGTGGATGGGTGGCTAGTCACAAGATTCTTGAGCATGCAAATAATCAATCATGTAAAATTTTCATGAGTGACAGTTTCTCATATCTCTAAATATGAAAATGTGAAGAGTATTCCGACAAAAGAGAAATCTTTATTAAGCTACCTTGAAATAGTTCTAAGAAGTGTTGATCTGCCTTCATCATGAAATGTTATAATTACAGATTAGGGTATTCATGGTGTCTGCACCTGGCATCACAAAAAAATAAAGATTGAGACAAATAAACAAGGACATGCACAAGTATATTGTCAGTATTAATCTGTTCTCTTAGACAAGAAAAGGACTTGCAATCCACTTTCAAGAAACAAAGCTTGGATAAGTACATTTATTTTATAGTAGATCTATCCCTCAGATCTATCCTTCAGTGTACTCAAATAGGATCAACTGGTCTAGAGGGGACAGCCTGAAGAAAGGTCAGGTTTTGCAGGTTAATTAATAAGATGATTTCTGCGGGACATGCGGCGAGTAATTATGGCAGAAATTAAGTTACCCAAAAAACCTCATGGTAATATTTTGAATACAGTTAAGAAGATTTTATTGAGACTTAAGCTCTCAAGCTGATCCCATGAGAGAAAATTGAACTTTACGTTATCCATATTTCAATTAAAACAGACGTTTCATGTTAGTTAAAAACACAAAAACATACGTTTTAAGCATTCTTACCAGGTTTGACATTAGGTAAACTTTCTGGAGAATGCTTGAGAATTCAATCGCAGGGTCACTTACAGAAACGAACTAAAGTGAGTTGTTTTAAATAGTATTCCCAAAATTAGCGTGCTATGAGTAGATATTTAGTAAATAATTTTTGCACTTATTGCTCGAACTTTGGGCAGAATCTGTCTTAATATCCCCTGTCCACCAAGACTATGAACCATGTTTAAAAGTGAGTGTTGACATATAAAATGGTTTAAGATAATAACATTTATTTAACATTCAGACTCTTCATAGACATTGCTTTCAATTACAATAAATTATGTTCACTTGAGCACATGAGTGACTAAAGGCCAACATAGAACTTACAATGTGTGTGCATCCTGTGCACATATTAAAGGATTCACAATTTTCAAGTTTCTGTCACTGACTTTCATTTTGCTTAAAACTTTCTTTACTAAACTCATTTAGTTGAAAGGGGCTCCCTAGAAGAGATGTATTAAACTATGTGGCTATCCAGAGATATTGCGAGCAAATGCAATGATAGAAGTCACTCAGGAAGGTGAAATGTACGTACCATCTTCCTTCAGAAAAGAGCAGTTATTACAAATGAAACACATAAAACACTTTGAAATTGAATTTACAAGCTAAGATCTACAGGGAGAAAAACATCATTTACATTGTCTAGTGTCCAATTCTAGACTTGAATATTTCAATTGACATCCTCTTAAGTGGTCACTGACTGTCAGAACACAACACAAATGGATTTAAACTCTTTGAGTAAATAAGCCAGCAAGAAAATCCAGCAATCTAGATTACACATTCAAGAAACTCTGAGACTGCTCAAATTAGACACACTTAAAAGGACCAAAAATAAACAAAATATATACATCACGTATATTCTTCCACTTATGTTGGTATTGCAAACGTGTTGTAAACAGTTTGCATTGTGGTATCTTATTGTAACTATTGTTAATGTACGTTGTGCATGTAATGCAATGTAATAAAAAAAAAACTCTGAGACCACTTGACAAATAAAGAAATACAAATTTTCAACAAGATTTCAAATTAAACTTACTGTGAGTTTCTTGTGTCTGGAATACTTCTGTCTCCACCAAGAGCATCACTGGAAGCCTGATTAAATTGATTTCTGTTATACCTGTCCTCTCCTCCTTCCAATGCCACACCTTTCAGCTCGTATCAGCTTCTTCATTAAAATTATAGTGGCCTCCTCACTTCTTCTTCTTCATGGATATACTAATAAGACATTAATGAATTAATTGAATACCATTGTACTAGCCCTTGGCAATTGGAGTCATGTGAGCAGACCTTTAAAAATACCTTTCGATTATTAGGTACTGGTATAAATAACTAAAACAATTTAGAATCTGAACAGTTCAAGAAAATATCCATGTGAGATCCACGTACAGGGAGAGAGATTCTCAAATGCCACAATTTTGAGGAGAAAAGTAACTGCAATTTACATTGGATTTCCACAGGTATGGAGCAGATACATTATATTCATTGAATACTCCACCTTTCGGGAAAAAAAAAAAAAAAA